GGTTGGCACGAGGGGTAGGTCTGCTGGATGTGGGTTTACCAGTGGTGAGTCTATCAGAGGAGGGTTGTGTCAAGTGATGCCCTAGCTATGCAATGTGCGAGGCGTCTAGCTATGATTTGGCCCGTGGGGTGTTATTACCTCTAACATGGAGGATGGGTAATGGCCTTGCGGAAGTGCCTGGAAAAAAGTGCCTGGAAGGAAATCTCTAAGTGGCCAAGCTGATGCGTCTCTACTGGTTGAAACCTGTAACACTACTTGTGGTCTAAACCGAAGCAACTTACCTGAATGCACAAAGTTCTGCTTGATTGTACTGTAGTAGTCTACTACCAGCTTGGGGAGGGGAAGGGGAGGCCTAAACCAGCTGATGGATGACAGAATGGAAGGTATAGGGTACATGTGAGAGAGTACTGGTATTTTATTGATGAAACCTGCCTCCCTACTTGTAAGTAGCATATCCTATGACCACCTATCTATGATTGCAGGTCACGTACTAAATTAGATCGGCTGGCCGAGTTAGTTGTAGCTTGGTGTTTATGTGTCTAACACCTGTCAAAATACGTTAAAGCAATAAAGTAAATGTCTGCTAGGGATCGTGTGTACCCGGCGTACATGTTTTAATATTAGAGCACTGAGAGTGGTATGTTTTGATTAACAAAACGTATGATTGTGCATATACCTATGGAAGAAAACACAATATTCTTGTCTTTCTCTAGGTCTTGAACCTTGCAAGGAGAATTAGTTATCGGCAACAAAATATATTTCTTTTTGATTTGGTTTAGAATCACAAAAGCAGATCTGCAGATTTAAAGCAACATCTTTGCATTAGAATACAATAGATGACATTTGTGCATATTCCAGTACTACAACATTTTGTATTTAAAATATCAGCCATGTATTAACTGAAGTTTTTTAGCAATTCTCTTGTCATACTTATATAATTATGTTATTTTTGCAAACCGGTTGAAAAAGTGTCAAGTAACTGAAATTCCTATGAGTGATTGGTATTTACAGCCTGCTTTGCCGTTGTATTGCTGAATGCGGACGTGCTTTACGGCAGTAGCAGACTTGTGCCTGTAAATGGAGTTCACATAGGGTGAGTGATTCCCCTTCTGACGGGTAAGTGTGATCCTTTTTTTTTAAGAATGGTAAAGGAGATTTGGAACCTTATCGGACACAATTTATTCACTTCAGGGAAACAAAGTAACAACGATCAGTCTTTCTCCACTTCAGAAATCCACACGAGGTGGAAGGAGGCAGACCTGATAACGCAGCAGCATTGTGACCGCTGTGACTGACTGTCACCGCGATCACATGGGCTGGGACATCGCAATTTGCTGTTGCTGGTCTGCCACTGACTGGCACTACCTACACTAGCATTACAACCTTTACTGTCATTACATGTGTCTATCCTGACTACCTCAAAATTGATCGCAGATGAACGATTATTATTAGTGAGACTAGGTTTGAACCCGAGTAAATATGCTGGGCATTCTTTTAGGATAGGGGCGGCTTCTACAGCATCCAGCTAATACATACCAGTAGATATCATTAAATCACTAGGTTGATGGAAATCGTCCGCTTATTCTTGTATATATATTAACCACAACCTGTATAGGAAATGCACATACAATATAAGGTGGAGTATCTGTCTTATGAAGTAAGATGATTCTTGAATCGTTCTTCGTAAGGTAAAAACATAGGTAGAGCAAAATAGTGCAATATATCCACTATTAAATGGTAAAGTGCAATGGTAGATAAGAAAAGCATTCACAAACAGAGCCACTATTTAGGCTAAGGTTTTCAGCTTGGTGGGTGCTATAGGGACCCACTCCCTTCTTTAGACTGGCAGGGGTTCACAAAAAGTAGAGTATCCTCACAGTTTGCAGTGTAGATATAAAGTGCTTTATTAAAAAGTGCACAATAAGTATAAATCAATTAAAATGAATAGATAAAAAAACCTTGCAATTGTGAAGGTAAGTCCTTATGTAAATTATTTTGAAGTGCAAAACGGGTTTCGCCCCGTTTAGAGGCTTCCTCAGTTACTGGTAAGTCTTGTTAGTTGACCCTTTTTAAAAAGTTCTATTTTGGCGGTCTTTTCACTGTCCTTCTGTTCTCGGCCGGCGTTCAGTGGGGTTTTATATTTCCGCTTCCGGATTCTTGCGTTCCAACCGTGGAACGCACTCACCACGTGGTTTATGCTGAAACGCACACATGCGTTCAACAGTGTTGGTCCATTACGAATACAGTCTTTTCAAGTCATGTGAACGCCATGCATGCGTTTTACAGCGCTAGTTGGTTGTGAATGTAATCTTTCAAGGGATATGTCACTCAAAAGAAGTTACACATGTAACTTCTTCCCGCTGTCGAGTAGCCGATTTTAGTTCCAGGCGCTCGACGACCAAACACTGCTTGGATAACAAAGGATCCAAGATGGCCGACCGCTGCGTGTTCAAAAGCCGAACGACGGCCACCCAGGAATGCACTTATCCGCCGATTGCTACAATGTTGCAATCTGTTAATGGGAGCCACACGACCCTCTGTGTGTGGGCTCCCATTCGGTACTTTATTTGTTTCACACACAGTGTCTAAAGTCACTGTTCGTGAAACTACCATATGAATGCTAACAGCTTTCGGCTGTTAGCATATGTATGCTCTCTATTATAAAAACACACGAATACATTCCTACACAGGATTAGCACAGCTTTTTACAGACAACCTTTAGATGTTATGCAGTATGACCTAAAGTGGCTAGGTTTGCCACATTGATCTTCTGTGGCAGATGCCTGAATAAAAAGCAAAGTTTTACACTATATTTTAGAAGTCCTTGGAGTGCTGTCATTACTTTATATATACAGTTGCAAGAAAAAGTATGTGAACCCTTTGGAATGATATGGATTTCTTCACAAATTGGTCATAAAATGTGATCTGATCATCATCTAAGTCACAACAATAGACAATCACGGTCTGCTTAAACTAATAACACACAAAGAATGAAATGTTGCCATGTTTTTTATTGAACACACCATGTAAACATTCACAGTGCAGGTGGAAAAAGTATGTGAAACTCTAGACTAATGACATCTCCAAGAACTAATTGGAGTGAGATGTCAGCCAACTGGAGTCCAATCAATGAGATGAGATTGGAGGTGTTGGTTACAGCTACCCTATAAAAAACACACACCAATTCTGGGTTTGCTTTTCACAAGAAGCATTGCCTGATGTGAATGATGCCTCGCACAAAAGAGCTCTCAGAAGACCTACGATTAAGAATTGTTGACTTGCATAATGCTGGAAAGGGTTATAAAAGTATCTCCTTGCTGTTCATCAGTCCACGGTAAGACAAATTGTCTATAAATGTAGAACTGCTGCTACTCTCCCTAGGAGTGGCCGTCCTGTAAAGATGACTGCAAGAGCAAACAGAATATTGTCTGCTCTGCCAAAAATAAAATGGACTCACTTTTATTTATCCTTGGTGGCCCACCATCACCAAAAACGGTTCCTGTAACCTAACTTATTTATGATACCGGAGAAACTGACGGAAGCAAAGCACAGAGGGATGGACACAGGTTTCTTCAGGAAGGAAGAGATTCTTTATTGGATCACCGATCGGGACTCAGAGGGACTAATGTCACCAAAAATACAGCAAGTTCTGAGCCCTGAACAATAGTGCAGGCTCCCTATATAGGCACATAACTCCTCCCATATTAAGCTCCACCCGCACATTCTCTTGACCAATCATTACAAATAAGAATTAACTTCCTGCTTGACCGCATGGCTTGTCCAGCACAATGGAGGAGGGGAATACTACATCCTGTATTCTTGCACATGCTCCGTACACTACTGATCGTATCTTGCCTCGTGCAACCAACTGATCGATACGTCAGCATATGCACGTACACATGCCACGTGGTAATCTCGGCCTACTAAATTTATTTTTACCGAGATTCCACCACATTCCCCCCTTTGATGCCTCTTGATATTTTACAATTACTTGAGGCATCACTTAACCTTGGTTTGCATACACCACAAGTTACCTTTGAACCAGACCAGACTTATCCTATGATGTGAATCTTCAACACTCGTCTTCCTGCATTGGTTCTCCCTGATCTAGAGCCTTATATTTATAAATTGCCATTATCTGTGCAGCAGCCTTCCTCTCTGCTATATTTTCTATCAGGCTTTGCACAGACCTAACTACTAAGGGTATAAGACACGGCAGGAGTAGACACAACATTAAAATCAGTAGGACTCCACCTACCACTGCCTTAAGCCCTCCAAACCACTCATACCAGCTACCAAACCAACTACTTGGATTGTACCCTTTCCATACCTGAGTAGGCACATGCGCTAGTTTAACCATATGGCTAGTAAGCTCAGCTATTGCTTGCCCTTCGTCATCTATTTGAAGACAGCAATTGCTCAGGTTAAACTTCCCACATACACCTCCCTCTACTGCCAAAAGATAATCCAAGGCTAATCTATTTTGGTAAACTGCTGTCCTCATCCTTGTATTATGCTTCGCTAGAAGATTGAGCGCTTGTGATGTCTCGTTAGTAATGATCTCAACCACCGCCTGTAACCTTATAATGCGGTTGAGCATATAAATAGGGGTTCTATAACCAAAGGTACCATCCTCTGCCCACGTGGCTGGCCCATAATAATCTATAATACGCTGGGGAGGCCATTCATTATCTTCCCAGGCACCTATCTCTATGGGTCCCCTTTTCTTCCTATGATTCACATCATACACTTTAACACCTAAAGTCTCACCTGTTTCAATAGGCAACAAGAAGAAGGATGGTTTTAACATACCCAACACACATGCCCCTTCCCAGTCCTGTGGTAACTCCGAATAGGCCTTCTTACCACAGATCCAGTACAAATTCGCTGGGGCTCTCCAGTTAGATGTGATGGATAGATCAAACCATACGTCCTTTAAATTGGCATATCTTGCAAACGGGTTAGATGGTTCTGAGACATTTGAAGCCGACCACCAAGTTGTATTCTTTGTATCATCATCATAAGCTTTTTGCCCTAGACAAGTTAATTCTCCTACAGAAGTATTATACATCATTCCTTTCCTCGCTATGCAAACATAACCTATGATGGAGGTCTTCAATCTCCACTCAGATTTACCTCTAACACTCATATGATAGTCGGCTTGTGTAGATATTAATTGGTCAACTGCCTCAGAACCGGACATTACCTCCTTTGCTTCCCAAGGCCATTGGTCTCCCATGTTAGTACCTCCACACACATAGCAGTTGGTAACATTAAGACTACCGGCAATACTCTCGGCTAAATCAATGAACAAGTTTTAGCATTATGGGGGATCTTATTATCTATGCTCATCTCTTCATAAAAGGAATGGTATACTTGATGAGTTTGGGAGGTTACCGTATCAGTCTCTATCCCTATAAACAATATTGTCCCAGGGTCTAAACCCGTCCCATATATTTGAAACCCAAATAAATTACCATATTTATCTAAGAACTTGTCAGGGTTATTTATAAGTATATGGATTGGATTGCATTCCATAGACTTACAATATGGATCAGTAGACAACTTAGTCACAATCATGTCCTTGTCTGCTGTCTGTCCCCAAGTCGCCCACCCCACACAAGACCAATATGGGCAGAAGTTATAATCTCTATTTGGGCATCTTGGACTTACATATTTATTTTTACTACTGGGACAAATATATTTATCGTTAGACCCATACGTCCTCTCCCATCTAAGATCCCCACATACATTCCACGGCTTTCTACCACTTGATATTGCTTTACACGCATCAAATAGCAGAGCACCTGAAGAATATACGGATTTTAATACCGTCTTATTAATTAGGGTCCCCTGAGAATCTCCATTTCTGAGAGTCAACCAAATTGTACGGGGTTGATACTCAGGACTGAAGCACTTAGGTTCTCCTACTCCTAAATGACACACACTATATTCTATATTTAAGTATCTACATCTTGATACATCTCCTTTACACTCATATTGCGAATGCCAAATTAGGGTCTGGGATATATGGTTACCTGTTCTTGTAGTCTTAATGCATACCTCACAGCTAGGAGTGTTGGTACCTCTACCTTCCTGAATACAAAAATACACATAAATAAACATTATTAAAAATACATCTTTCGTCATCATCCTCAGTCTTCGTCCGTGTGAAGGCACCTCAGCTTCCAGGATGTAAGGACTGCAGGGAATGGAGTTCTGCTCGTCTTCACAGGGGTCCCCTCAAGACTTTCCCTGACTTATACACTCGTTGGTGAGTGGACAGGCTTTATTATGGCCTTCTCACTCACTTACCAAGTCTCTGAAACAATAAAATTTGTAATCTACAAGGTTCCTCGTCACTCCGACTGAGTCGTGCGTTTTAACCGGATCTTGCAGGGATTCTCTGGATTTGCTGTAACTTGCCAGGAATCGGCTGCTGCTGGTTTAACCCTGGAGTGATGTATCCACGGAGCCACTTCGGCTACTTTTATCGCTGTAGGGGTAGACAGAAGAACAACATAAGGACCTCTCCACTTGGGCCCTAACGGCACATTATTCCACTCTTTAATCCACACTTGGTCGCCTGGGTGGTAACTATGAATTGGGGGATAAATATTCACAGGTAATCTATCTTGTACCCATTTCTGTACCTCCTCCATAGTCTTACCCAACTCTACAACCTGCTGCCGGGTAATTCCTTCTCCCAACTGACTCAAATCCCCCCTTAAGTTACCAAGCACGGGAGGTGGTCGCCCGTACATGATTTCAAAGGAGAGAGGCCCATCCTTCTGGTAGGTGTACTACGGATTCGCAATAGAGCTATGGGCAAGAGAACGTTCCACTTAAGTTGGGTTTCCTGACACATTTTAGCCAACTGATTCTTAATAGTTCTATTCATTCTCTCTACCTTACCAGAACTCTGGGGTCTATATGCCGTATGAAGCCTCCACTTTATACCAAGCATATGAGTCAATTGTTGTAGGCACTGATGAACAAAAGCTGGACCATTGTCCGATCCTATAGAGCAGGGTAGTCCATATCGGGGTATTATTTCTCGTAGCAGGAATCTCACGACTTCTCCTGCTTTCTCTGTACGAGTAGGACATGCTTCTACCCAGCCTGAATAGGTGCACACCACTACCAGCAGGTAGCGATGTCCACCCGATTTAGGCATCACTGTATAGTCAATTTGTAAATCGGACATGGGAAGTCCCCCATAAACTGGACTCCTGGTGGCTTTACTGGTCCTTGTCTTGCATTATTTTTAGCACACGTTACACATCTACGTACAATGGCCTGAGTCAAGTTGGACAATCTTGGTATGTAGAAATGTTTTCTGAGAGATTCTTCTGTACTGTCTCTCCCAGAATGTGTCCCGTTATGATAGTTTTGGACAATTTCTACCGCTAGTGATGCTGGAATAACTATTCTTCCATCTTCTAACTGATACCATTTGTTCTCCAAATACTTTCCAGGTTCAGTCCTTAACCACTCCTCTTCTTGAGCTGTATAAATTGGAGTCCATTGAGACAGTGGAGTTGGTATAAGAGCAGCTATATGCCCCACATATTCCTGTCTTCCTGATTCAGCAGCACGCTTAGCTGCACTATCTGCCATCCGATTCCCTTTGGTTACATCACCATCTCCTCTCAGATGCGCCCGACAATGTATAATACCGACTTCTTTCGGCTCCCACACTGCTTCCAATAGTTGTAGGATCTCAGCTGCGTATTTGATTTCTTTGCCTTCTGAATTCAATAGTCCTCTTTCTTTATACAAAGCTCCGTGGGCATGAGTGGTTAAAAACGCATACTTGGAGTCCGTGTAGATGTTCACTCTTAAACCTTCAGCCAATTGTAACGCTCGTGTCAGTGCTATCAATTCTGCCTTTTGTGCTGATGTTCCTTTTGCCAGTGGCCGAGCTTCTATCACCTTGTCTATCGTTGTTACTGCATATCCTGCATAGCGGATCCCTTCTTTTACATAACTACTGCCGTCGGTGTAATATTGAACATCAGGGTTCTGGATGGGAAAATCACGAAGATCTGGTCTACTTGAAAATACTTCATACATTACTTCCAAACAATCATGTTGACTTTCAATGGGTTGTGGCAAAAGGGTAGCTGGATTTAAGGTATTTACAGTCTCTAAATGCACTCTTGGGTTTTCACACAACATTGCTTGATACTTGGTCATACGGCTGTTACTAAACCAATGATTTCCTTTGTAATCCAACAACGTCTGTACTGCATGTGGAACTCGTACATAAAGTTCTTGACCCAGAGTGAGTTTATCGGCTTCAGCTACTAGCAGGGCGGCTGCAGCTACAGCTCTTAGACAAGGTGGAAGTCCGCTGGCCACTGCATCCAGTTGCTTAGACATGTAGGCAACAGGTCTTTGCCATGATCCCAAGTACTGTGTCAATACTCCCACAGCCATTCTTCTTTGCTCATGTACATACAGGTAGAATGGCCGTGTGTGGTCAGGTAGACCTAATGCTGGGGCACTCATCAAAGCCCTCTTCACATCTTCGAATGCCGTTTGCTGTTCTTGAGTCCATAAGAAGGGGTCGTGCTCTGTACCTTTGATAGCTGCATACAGAGGTTTTGCCAGTATCGCGTAGCTGGGAATCCATATCCTACAGAAGCCTGCTGCCCCCAAGAATTCTCGCACTTGTCTTCTATTCCTGGGTATCGGTATTTGGCACACAGCTTCTTTTCTCTCTGGCCCCATAATTCTTTGACCTTCAGAGATATGGAATCCCAGATATTTGACAGTTGGCAAACACAACTGAGCCTTCCTTCTTGACACCTTGTATCCTGCCTTCCAGAGAATGTGTAGTAGATCGTGCGTTGCTTGCTGACATACTTCCTTTGTAACTGCTGCTATCAACAAGTCATCTACATATTGTAATAATACACACTCTCCTGGGATAGACTCGAAATCTAGTAGATCTTGACTTAGAGCTGAACCAAATAGGGTAGGTGAATTTTTAAACCCCTGGGGCAATCTTGTCCAGGTCATTTGGCGTTTCGAGCCCGTTACAGCATTTTCCCATTGGAAAGCGAAGATACATTGGCTTTCTGCGGCAATTCGGAGGCAAAAGAAGGCATCTTTGAGATCTAAGACTGTAAAGTAAGTAGCCCCGCCCGGAATTAAAGCAAGCAGGTTATATGGATTGGGCACGACTGGATGTATACTAACAACCGCATCATTGACTGCTCTCAAGTCCTGCACAGGTCGATACTCATCTGTACCGGGCTTTTGAACAGGCAGCAATGGGGTGTTCCAGGGGGAAGTACAGAATTTTAGGATACCATACCGTATGAACTTATCCAGATAAGATTGGATGTTCTTCTTAGCCTTCTGCGGAATATGATATTGTCTCAGGCTTACTGGATAAACCCCAAGTTTTAGTTCGATTTTAATAGGTGGAATATTGCGGGCCAGTCCTGGTGGGTTGTTCTCTGCCCAAACTCCTGGTATGTTAAATAAGGATTCATCACTCCTCGGGTTTTGGCTAGTCAACACTGTATAAAGTCGCCACTCTTCTTCCTTTGGTACGGACAATGTCATAATACCTGAGGGTCCATTAAACTTTAAGGATGTTGTTCCATTTGGTAGGAACGTAATCTGCGCTTGTAATTTGGATAGCATATCACGCCCCAGCAATTGGACTGGACACTCAGGCATATAAAGGAATTGATGTTTTACTACGTGGCCTCCCAATGTACAGAGTCGACTTTTAAGAACCGGTTTTTCAGCACTTCTTCCAGTTGCTCCTATTACAGTAATAGTTCTTCCAGATGGAGGAGCAACTTGATTAGTCACCACCGAATGTTCAGCACCAGTGTCGCTCATAAACGCACTCCTTTTTCCCCCTATTGATACATCGACCATAGGCTCCGCTCGACCAAGGGGGATGGAGCCCGGTCGGTATCAATAGTCCTCCATGACCGTGTCAGCCAATCCTACAAAGTCCCTACCTTCTCTATCGCGGGACCTTTGCGCTGCTGGATAGTACCTATCTTCCCTTACACTTCCTCTGTTCCCATTACTCCCTCTATTACCATTACTCCCTCCGGGGCCTCCTCTACCTCTCGCTCTGCCTCTAAAGTTTCCGTAACCTGCCCTGGGTAAGTCTCTCTCATCCTGCTCTCTTTGCGGACACTCGTTCCTCCAATGCCCTTCTTCCTTACAGTACGCGCACTGATTCCTACTCAAAGGCTCCCTATTCCATCTACCATCGCTTCTATCTGGGCCCCGTCTATCTACGCCTGCGATCGCTACCGCTAGCATATCTGCCTTTCTACGCATCTTGCGCTCTTCCTCTTTCTTACTTTCTGTTTCCCTATTCATATATACTTTGTTCGCTACCTCCATTAGTTGGGTGATATACATACCTGCAAACCCTTCTAATTTCTGTAGCTTGCGCTTAATATCTCCGTAAGCTTGGCTGACAAAGGCGGAGTTTACCATTCGGGAATTATCAGCGCCTTCCGGATTAAAGGGGGTATACAAGCGGTATGCCTCCAATAATCGGTCATAAAAGACACTGGGCGCTTCATCACTTTTCTGAATCACCTCAACTGTCTTCGACATGTTAATAGCTTTCTTCCCTCCGGCTTCCATGCCAGCAATTATAGCATCTCTATAGGCTTTAAGTTGAGCCATATCTGCGCCATTTACATTCCAGTCAGGATCGGTGTTAGGGTAATGTGTTGCGGCCCATGCTGCCGGATTGGCTTGATTTAAAGCACGGGCTCTCTCCTCTAGCGCCTTAATGGCAGCTTGGTTAATCCTTGTCCTTTCCTCATTATTGAACAATGTCATTAATAACTGCTGGCAATCAGCCCATGTCGGGTTATGTGTCTGAACTATC